CTTTATCGCGGAATAATAATTCGCCGACTGCAATCGCGCGGAGTCGCGAAATGGAGGATCGACTGCTTGTGGCCCGACTATTGCGTCTCGTCAGCCATAGTCTCGCGGCTGTATCGGCTATTTGTCGCGCGACCTCGCTCGTACATTCGCGGTCACTTGACGTCAGTCGATGCAAATCGAGTGCCGACTTATCGATTACATCTCGCGTCATCGCGCGATGGTTCATCCGAACAATGCAATTTGCCGGCAAATAGGTGCTAACGTAGCACACCATTATACTATTGAGAATCACTTTGCGCAATCGCCCGCGATAGTAGCACCCGCCGCTGTAGCCGCCGCCAGAAGTTGCTCGTTATCGTCGCGGTTAATAAAAGGCAAACTTGCATATATTATCCGAGAATAATTTAGTGAGCGAGCGGGCAATCAGAGCGTGCGTTTCCGTTTTTGCTCGCCGATTATTCACCGATCGTTTGAAAAGATGCTTCCCGGGATCTCGACACCGCTTTTATTTAAATACCACGCAACTATTATTAGCGCATCAATCCCTGATGTTCCACCAATGATTAGCATTAATGTTACATTAGTGTGACACTTGAGTTTAAGTTAGTATCTAAATATATATAAATCACTCGCTTCTCTCTTTCTATCTCTTTGTCAATAGACGTGTCAGCGTGCTCTCTAAAGTACAGAGAGTGTACTCTTTACTGGAATGCTGTAACTTATAACTGAGGTAGTTATAAATACAGCATTATAATCGATAAAATGTCGATGAAAGGATCAGTTAATAGCAGCGACTGTCCCCATTATTAATACACTTTACAAACATACGATGACTTTACATGTCATCGCACGCAAGGCGCATGGGAGTCGTTCATTCCATCGCTAAACACACAAACCACACAAACGCAAGAATATTAGATTATATTCAAAAAAATATAATCTCATCCTTAGTGAAATCTTTCCCCAAGAGGAAAATATTAAAACATCAAAAAAGAAAAGAATTTTAAGATTTCCCATAATCCCAATTCTATACTCTATAAAAGAAAATATTTAAAAATTCATTCACAGGACATAAAATTTATTTCTGTGAGGTATCATTTATTTCTGTGCATAAACTATATCCTACAAATAAATTCTAAAGTATTTTCTCCCAGTGTAAACGTGAAAACATTTATCGAAAGAATATTTCACTTGTAATGAAGAGGAATAATGTTGCGCTTAGAGTACTTTTCTTCTGGTTTTAGAAGAATTTCCTCTTGAGAGGCCATATACAGGAAAATTCCGCCAAGTATGAAATAATATTTTTTTAAACGTGCATAACGAATTTATGTACTAGAAGTTTTGCAGCGAAATTTTACTTCCAATTTTACTGCTCAAAATCGATATAAAATAGAATAGATATAAGATAGAATAGTAAAGTGAGTGTTTTCACCAAAAATTACTGGCTGGTTATCGATGAAATACTCCTTTTAGTGATTTGATCAGGAACGGTTTTGCTGATTTATTTGAAGAGAGTGCTCCACCTTCTCACGGTGACGCGCACAAGTCGCACTCGAAACTCGAGATTGAATTTTGTCAAACATGGAAACGTCCCAACTTCCATCCTGATTCGGTTTAACGCGAACGCGACGGCAAGATTTTACCGTGTACGAGATTTCTTTACGCAAGTCTCCCCGCTGACAAATGGGTTATCGATTGAGGTCGCGGTGACGGTAATGTCTGCGGTTGAAGAGTCAAGGATCTGAAACCTTGCAAAGTTTGTCCCAACTGTTACGTACATATCGCAACTGTAGCGACGTTGCATGATTGGCATAAAGCGAATGTGTCAATAAAGCCGTGAATAAGTGCAACGCTCAAAACTCGCCGTGCTATACGCGAAAACCGTCGGATCTGAATTTTAAAGTAAAACTACTAATGCCAGGACATTTACCTACAACTCTGGACATTCTTATTGTTATATGTGTGTGTTGTGTTGTGTGTGCTTTGTATTGTGTGTGTGTATGTGTGACCTTAAATACAAATATTTAAACTCTCTCTTTCAACGTAAAGAGAGTATATATATATATTTTTTTTTTCTTTCAGGAGTCTGAAAATAAACAGGAGTCAGTTACGGAAACGAGAGACTACGAACTACGCTATGAAACTTAACTTGATTTCAGACTAAAATATGTCTCTAATTTACGAGCGCACGAGTCCTTCAGTCCCAATCTGCCTTGGTTTTCTACGATTATTTTGATCTCGTCAACCCTGATGGCAACGTCTCATTGGCCAAATAATTTCTTTGGTCTCCTCATGATATTTATGATTATCGTCTTTGAGTTTCTTGTGCCTTTCTATTACGTATTTCGTTCTTACTTACTATGTGTTTCAGTCGAGCCTTATATTTCTAAATTTTAAAATCTGTTTTTCCATTATATCGAACACAAGTATTCTATAAGAGTGCGTCTCATTTGGACACTTACACCATGCGAAACCTAACAGTTTCTATCCTTTTCATCTCTTCTTGCGTGGCTAATATTAAATAAGTTTTGATCGTCTCAGCACTAGCCGGGTGTATTATTTCTTCCATAGCCGTTGTACCCGTTGCTATTTCTCGTTTCATTTGGTTAGTGAGTGCTCATGTTTTTGCTACTATACCTCGATAGAATGAGCGTTTGTGAGTGCAAGTCATGACGTCAGCGTAACGTCATAACTCAATTCGCAACGATATCAAACGGAACGATATGCACGATGCTTAAAGCGTGTAAGTGTTCAAATGGAACGCAATCCATGTCTCGAAAGCTTGAATATTCGTGTTTAAAGACCAAAACAATAAAAATGTCCAAGCATTGCCACTTGTATTATACTTTACAGATCGATTACGCGTGTTGCAAAAACTTTCAACACTATTAAGAGAATTTACGAGATTATTAAACGTTATTTATCAACTATAACGGATACGAGAATACACTAATTTTATGAAATGTGCGCGACGATTTAATACCATATAAAAATTTATCTCTCTGTTTTAGGCAATATACAGCTGAGTGTGTCTTACATTGTCGTGGACAGAATCGATGAAATCTAAGTTATCGTTTTGGGGCAAGACGAGACAAACCAAGCAGAGTCGAGCCATGTCGCGACGACGTATATTCTCACTGAAAGTTTGTATCCTTGACATACAAAGGCTACGGCGACCTAACCCAGGCAAAGGGGACGTTCTGTTCGCGAATCGAATAGGCTCGGAACGAGAATGCCGACGCGGAGGTGAACTCGATGATTCCCGCGACGACCGCTTTATTATTGAAACTTCACGCATTCGTTCGACATTTCATCAAGGCGTGTGTAAAGCAAAAGATAATTGTTTTGGGAAAATATTTGTCGTCTTGTCGCCGAGGTGATATGCCGCCAATCGTGGAAATTTCCTCGAGTAAAGTTTCCTCTTGTTGAGGAAGCAATTTTACTGTTGAATCTGCTCGAGAAGTAGACCTTGGAGTATCTCACGAATAGCGGTTTTATACGCACCGAATATTCTAAAAATTCTGGACCTCATCATTTTCAGGGCCATCACGTGTCTGCCCCCTTCGCTTCCGTCGATGACTCGCGTTTACTCAATGTGCGCGCGCGGTTCTTAGTTCCAACGATACTTAAAATTAATTATTAAAGAGGCTACAAGGTGACGGTATATATAAATGTCACGGGATGAGAGGAAGGGAGAGAGAGAGAGAGAGAGAACAAAAGAGACATGTCACAATGAGAGAAATTTCGCCCAAGTCACTTTTAACAGTGAAACGATCGTTCGAGGCCAATTATTCAAGCAAGAGAATCCGCGACATCAATAATGGACTTCATTTTGTCACACGTCCGCACGTGTCTGAACTTTGCTCTAAAAAGCTAAAAACTGAGTTAGAGGGATCAAGGCTGAGATTTCCATCTACGCGCGTGCATCGAGTTCCTGTCGTAGTTCTGATACTCTCTTGAAAAGTTCTAGAGCTCTATGAACAATTTTAAATAGTTCCGGTCATTAAATACAAAAAAATAGACTTTTAAAAATAGGTGCGTTAAGTTCACGCAGCGCACCTAATCAATAAAATCAACTATTTCTTTAGAGTTCCGGTTTGTTTTACAATAGTTCTAGAGTTCTATATCATATATAACAATAGTTCTACTAATTAAAAGCGAAAAGTCGATTTGCGAAGACCTAATTCACAAAATATGAAATACCGACAACAAAATAAGAGAGATTAACACTATTTCGCGAGTTCTGCATATTTGAAAATATTTTCAACATTTACTTGTAATCAGGGAATGAAAATATAAAGAGTTTTATGCGATAGCAGAAATAATTTCTTCATAAAAAATTATAAAGTGTTCGAGGTCGCGTAACTTTAGCAGCAGGAGGGGTGCGCCAGCCGCACTTTGAGAGTTCCATTGGTTTAAAAATATTTTTAACGTTCACTTATGATCAGAAAACGAATGTCCAAAGAGTTCTGCGCGACAGCAGTAATAATTTATTTATAAAAAATTGTATAGTATTCGAAGTCGCGTACATCTACAAGCAGATGGGGTGCGCTACCTGCGCTTTGAGAGTTCTGTCGGTTTAAAAATATTTTCAACGTTCATTTGTAATCAGGGAATGAAAATATAAAGAGTTCTGCGCGATTGCGGTAATAAATTATTTATAAAAAATTATATAATGTCCGAGATCGCGTAAATGTACCAGCAGCTGGGATGCGCTAGCCGCAGTTTGAGAGTTCCATTGGTTTAAAAATATTTTTGACATTCAATTATGATCAAGTTCTGTGCCATAGCTGTAATAATTTATTAATAAAAAATTATACAGTGATCCAAGCCGCGTAACTATAACAACAGGTGGGGTGTGCCAGCGGCACTTTGACAGTTCTGTCGGTTTAAAAATATTTTCAACGTTCACTTGTGATGAAGGAATGAATAGTCAAAGAGCTTTTTGCGATTGTGATAAAAACAATTTATTTAAAAAAAATTATTATACTGTACACGAAGTCGTAATAGTGGTTGTAAGGTACGCTATCTACACTTTGAGAGTTCTGTTTGTTTAAAAATATTTTTAACATTTTTTTGTTTTTTCTTCTTTTGCGTTTTTTGTTTCTTGTTTTTTGTTTTTGTTTTCTTTTCAATTATTATTTTCAATGTTTTAATTCTATTGTTTTATATAAATGAGGATATGGGGAATGATTTTAAAATTGGAATGTAAAGGAATTCGTTTACGTGATAAATCGTCGTATTCGTACCACTTCAAACTTGTGTATACAATTCCTGTGTAGTGTCCTTTAACGGCGGTATACTTTATGTACCTAATCACCCCAACTAAATTATAAAATTGGCCCCCAACTTCAATGCGTTTACTTATTGCATTAAGCTTCATGTCATTTAGGGGCACTTTTGTATAATTATTATCCGTCAAAATGCTCATGTCGATAAGAATATGAGGACCGTACGTTACATTGTAATGTTGTAATTTTTTACAATGTTTGCAAAAATAAGTTGTATTTATTGCACTATGTATTGCATCTTGTATACAGTCCGGCCCGTTCTGAAGAATAATGTCCACATTAACGTTTAAAAATGTAAATTTGTGTTCGCTTGCTATATTACAAGTATTGCAGTTAATATATCTTACATAACTCGGATGTAAAATGTATTCCGCAAGATGAGCAGCATTGCAGTTTGCATTTATTGATAGCAATTGCCGCGTGTACTGCGACTTTTGGAAAATTGGAATGTCTCGTAAAATTCGAGCTCTCTCAATTCGTGCTGCTGCTGTCACCTTTCTATCCGTTAAAAGCATTTCAGCTAACTTTATAAATGTACTGTCTATCGCACGACTTGCTTCTTTATATGAAGAATTTGTTGCTATTGCACACATTATAACTTGTAATATTGAGTCAAAAGCACATGTATCTTTGACCAAAATTTTGATCTTGTCACAATGCACTGGTTCGCATAGATTACCATTAGAAATAAGAGGCATGCCTTCTGCAGTGCCGTTTGAGAACAAGTCACAATCGGCACACGCATCTAAATAATTGAATTTCTTCCGATGCTTTCCATCATTTGTACTAATCATTCTTTTTTGTTTGTTTCTGTCCGTTTTAGCTTCTCTCCGCCAGTTTTCTTTAATATCCAGTGCATTTTCACTTTCACAAGATGTAATGAATGTGGTGTTCTTTTCTTTTTGTGGCTCTTCTTTTAATGGAGTGGATGTTTCAACGCAACGTGAGATAAATTCCAATTCGGAAGGAAGGGTCTCTATGCTCATTTTCGTGCTTTTTTCAGGAAGTGATGACGAAACGGTAGATGACGGTAATGTTTCAATTATTTTAATCTCATTATTAGTCCAAGATACATTTTTCTCTACCTCAATTAGTGAAAGATGTTTTGTAGTATCATTGATTGTAACTCGGACGTTATCTTCCGTCTTTGTGCTGATTAATGTTTTGTTAGACATAGTGTTCGTTGAACTTTGTATATTTTCTTTCAGGGATATAGATTTAACTGTAGAATCTGATTGTAGGCTTGTAATTTCATGGTTTGAGGTTATATTTTTAACTGTATTGTGTTCGGCGTAAGCTAATTTTAACTTCCCATCGAGATAGTTAAGATGTTCAATTACGAACTTATCCACTCTCATTGGTAACTTACCTTTAAAAACTACGTTCTTTAAATTTGAAAATGCCCCTTCAACTGGCGATCCAGTAATTTTTTGGCGTAAGTATCCCGCTAGAGGTCTTTTATGTTTGTGACTTATTTTTGTATTCAAATTTGTTATCAAGAATTCAAAAACACAATCTCTATCAGCTACAGGTTTTGAAAACAATTTACCATCTATTATGGCACCGCAATCGATACAATGCCCTTTAATGTGTACATAGCATTTTGCAGATGAACGTTTATAAACTCTGCCACTTTTAAACGTAATGGCACATGGAATATCAGTTTGAGAATAAATTTTTTCTGCAATAATATGTGTCCATACACGTCTTTTTAACGTCACATATTGCTTATCGCCATAATTAAGGGATTCAGGTTTCATTTCTTTCCATTTCTCAGGAGATATTATTATTTTGTATGATATAGATATCTTCTGTTCAGTTCGTGACTTATTGTCAGCATAAGATATATCACTTTGTTCGCTCTGTTGAACAATTATCCTTTCGTCAATATTATAAACGCGTAAAATTTCTCGCAAGAAGATTCCACGATCTTTTTGTAATATCGTATACGCGTGTTTCGGAGTTATGTTGCTCCCCCGATTTTTCATTTCTTCTGAAATTCTGACATAAACTTCATCGCTTGGAGGTAAAACTTTCCCACTTGAATCGATTGTCCGAAAAGATGGATTTTTCAATATTTGTAGCAATGCGTCTTTGTCATACATTTTTGTTAGTTCTCCTATATAACACGCGTTAAAATAAAAAAAGAGGGATGATAATACAGATTAAGATGTATAAAAGGAATAAAAGAAATCGTATACTGAACTTACGTAAAATAAAATACAGATTATTTCGTGAAAAAAGTAGGAGAAAATCAAATATTGAATAATGATGCAGTCAAAGCACACTTCACAATATTTTCGAGTGTAAAACGGTGGTGTTAAACTAGCAAAGTGCTCGGAACGAAATGTTTCTATCGGATGGTGCCTCGAAAACATACTCGCGCCCGTCGCAGCGTGTGAGAAGAAACGTCCCCTCCGTCTATCAGAAGGCGCATGGAAGGGACGTTTCTTCTCACACGCTCATATTCTTATCGACATGAGCATTTTGACGGATAATAATTATACAAAAGTGCCCCTAAATGACATGAAGCTTAATGCAATAAGTAAACGCATTGAAGTTGGGGGCCAATTTTATAATTTAGTTGGGGCGATTAGGTACATAAAGTATACCGCCGTTAAAGGACACTACACAGGAATTGTATACACAAGTTTGAAGTGGTACGAATACGACGATTTATCACGTAAACGAATTCCTTTACATTCCAATTTTAAAATCATTCCCCATATCCTCATTTATATAAAACAATAGAATTAAAACATTGAAAATAATAATTGAAAAGAAAACAAAAACAAAAAACAAGAAACAAAAAACGCAAAAGAAGAAAAAACAAAAAAATGTTAAAAATATTTTTAAACAAACAGAACTCTCAAAGTGTAGATAGCGTACCTTACAACCACTATTACGACTTCGTGTACAGTATAATAATTTTTTTTAAATAAATTGTTTTTACCACAATCGCAAAAAGCTCTTTGACTATTCATTCCTTCATCACAAGTGAACGTTGAAAATATTTTTAAACCGACAGAACTGTCAAAGTGCCGCTGGCACACCCCACCTGTTGTTATAGTTACGCGGCTTGGATCACTGTATAATTTTTTATTAATAAATTATTACAGCTATGGCACAGAACTTGATCATAATTGAATGTCAAAAATATTTTTAAACCAATGGAACTCTCAAACTGCGGCTAGCGCATCCCAGCTGCTGGTACATTTACGCGATCTCGGACATTATATAATTTTTTATAAATAATTTATTACCGCAATTGCGCAGAACTCTTTATATTTTCATTCCCTGATTACAAATGAACGTTGAAAATATTTTTAAACCGACAGAACTCTCAAAGCGCAGGTAGCGCACCCCACCTGCTCATAGATGTACGCGACTTCGAATACTATACAATTTTTTATAAATAAATTATTACTGCTGTCGCGCAGAACTCTTTGAACATTCGTTTTCTGATCATAAGTGAACGTTAAAAATATTTTTAAACCAATGGAACTCTCAAAGTGCGGCTGACGCACCCCTCCTGCTGCTAAAGTTACGCGACCTCGAACACTTTATAATTTTTTATGAAGAAATTATTTCTGCTATCGCATAAAACTCTTTATATTTTCATTCCCTGATTACAAGTGAATGTTGAAAATATTTTCAAATATGCAGAACTCGCGAAATAGTGTTAATCTCTCTTATTTTGTTGTCGGTATTTCACATTTTGTGAATTAGATCTTCGCAAATCGACTTTTCGCTTTTAATTAGTAGAATTATTGTTATATATGATATAGAACTCTAGAACTATTGTAAAACAAACCGAAACTCTAAAGAAATAGTTGATTTTACTGATTAGGTGCGCTGTGTGAACTTAGCGCACCTTTTTTTAAAAGTCTATTTTTTTGTATTTAATGATCGGAACTATTTAAAATTGTTGCATAGAGCTCTAGAACTTTTCAAGAGAGTATCAGAACTCTAAAAAAAATGTCACATTTTTACATATGGTGTGCCAAGTTCACACAAGTCAAATCTCGGCTTATCAGATACGTGTTAGTATACAAGGAAATTAATGTTTCAATCATCGCCGCTGTAAGATAAATGTACCAATGCCCGGATATGTATCTAATTCCGGACACTTTTATTATTTTGAACATTTCTCTAAATATTTCATCTTTTAACGTACATTAAATATAAATATTAAATGTACGTATACTAATATGTATGTTGAAAGTTGAAATATTCAAATATAAAAATAATAACAATGTCTGGAGATGGGTACATGTCCGGGCATTGGTACATTTACTTTATGTATACCGCGACGTAACTATCAATAAAGACTTACGTGTGAACTGACCCGATTCTGCGCTGTTCTTCCGTGTGAGTGGAACAGCGTGTCGCGCACGGCTCGAGGAATCTATTTGGCTTGTAAACGTTTTCTCTTCCGGGATTCCTAATTTTCACGAGGAACCTGAATCTCAGATGACATTCGCTTGTGTGGCTCGCGCGTCCTACCGCAGTTTCTCGAAACGTTCGGCGTTCGCGCGTCCACTCGCCGTACATCACGCTAATTAAATGGAACGAAAATCGGACGCTCTGGTCTGATGGAAACGAGATTGCGTTATCGCATTATTCAGCCGATTAAAATCGATCGGCCGACGTTTGTTGCCCCAATAATTCAGAGAACCAAGGCGGATCCAAGGTCGACGCGCGCGCGCAGCGCGTTTGTTTAAACGAACGAACAATACGACTCGCATTGATTTCCGACGGTGATTTTTCAAGGCTAACCGAAAGAACGCGCGCTGATATCGCGTATGCGTCTCAAAGACGTGCGACGCAACATTCCTCTCTCGTATCTTCTCTTATCGCTATTTTGTTTACTTCTGTGACAAAATTATCGAGTGAATCGATTTCAAGTCAGTTTCGCTCGAAATTTTTTCTTACGGCGCTAGCATTCGAAATCTCGCTTTCAGTTTCGATCCCTCGGATATTTCAACACAAAAGAAACCTCGGATCCTTGCCACCTTTGTATCCTCGGATTCTAAGATCAGCGGCCGTTAAACGTTAGTCGTTCCAGTATATCTGGAGAAAGAGAAAGAGAGAGAAAGAGAGAGTAAGAGAGACATTTCTTAGTCCGAGTCGACCGTTATTTTTAGACGTCATTGACATTTGCAACGTAGACACGTTTGGCCGTTTGTGTATGTACCGCGTGACGGGATCGAGCTCCTTCGCACAAATGATCGTCTCGATCGTCGGGGATTCGTCGCGACAAGGGCTCGAGATTGCTCGAGGTAATTTCGAAGATTTTTCCAAACTCGTCGAACGAAAAGATAGAGAAACTACACGCGAACGTGCGTGTGTGTGCGCTTTACCGGCGATCATTTGGCCGGGAGGTGCGGACTCGAATGTAGGCGTTCAAACGCCGCGACCTTACTTTCGATCGATCCCATCACTACTTTCGCGCCCTCTCGGCCGCGCACATTTTCGCTGGTCTTCGCCCACGCGTACCCTTCAGAGTACGCTTCTACGGTCGATCGGGCCATAATAATCAGGCGGGGAATGTAAACGTGGCTTCTCATTGTTCGGGCTTCGGATGCGCGAGGTGTTTTCGCGATATTTTTAGTGTCTCCCGTGCGACGGGGAATCGGAACAAGTGAAAAAAAAGACGCGGGTGCATCGTGTTTTGTGAATACGCTCGTCCCGCTCGCTCCCAGCTTCGCGCACTCGACGCATAATTTACCGAAAAGTATGGACGGCTAGGAGGCTGGCAACTTTACGATCGTCACACTCTTGGCAAGAAACGAACCTTACATCTGTCCGCGACAATACCAGCGCGTCCTTTCACGTGCACAAGGATCTAGGGTTACTCTCGAACGCGCAGCTTCGTTATTTGTGTAGATCGCAGTTCACAAATGACAATTATCCTGATTTGTACGTAACATGTAGAGCGAGGAAAATGAAAAGAGAGAATGCTGCGCGATTATTTAATTTTCATTTTCCGCATGTTTTATGTACGGTCCAGTTGCACACTTGAAGAAAAGAGAGGGAAACTAAGCGGCAAACTTTTGCCGGTTAACCGTCAATTGATTTATTTGTCGTTGTAAAACTGACGACGTGGGAGGCGTTACGACGACACACGAACGAAAAGCGAAGGCGCGCGTAATCTACTTTCACCGGGACGTTGCGATCACGCGGATTTCCGACAGCGAGAGTTGTCCGCATCTCGCCGATATACCGATTACACTTCGCGCCTCGTAGAATAAACTCTCCACTTGTGTGAACTTAGCACACCATATTTCAAAATGTGCCATTTTTTTTGCAGTTCTGA